AAGGCTCTTAAGCTAGGTGTCTTTTTATGCAGTTTCGGATATTTTGATCAGAACATACTGTTTTGCTTATGCCCGGAGAGTAGGCAATAGTTTTTGGATTGAAAAAAATTATGGGATTATTATTGAGGTATCTATAACTTGATTAGTTTTATTAAAATGACTTTTATATAATATAAACAAGGCAAGGGTTGAACAAAACTGGTTTTATACACAAATAAAGCGTTCGAAACAAACAAAATTGATGAAAAATTTTATATATGTACTTGTATATTATGTTTTGGTTGCCATAACTAAATGCTATGCATAAACAAACTTCTTTCAATTTTTACTTACAAGTGGAACCGCAGATGCTTGGCACCGATAAAACTTAGCATCCGACTTCTAAAGCCACTATACACTATAACATTTCGTTCTGTATCAAATATAGCTGAATTTATAAAATGATTGCTGTTCTGTATTTGTGATCGTGATCTTTTCCCCGCCCTTCTCTCGTCCTACTCCTTATTGACTCGCCATACGCGTACTTAAGTAGTGAAGCAGTTCGCTGTGTGCATAAGTCTATTGAGCATCTTCGAATCCTTTTCCTCTCCTTTGATCATTGTAAGCTGGGCTGTTTTGCGTTTGTGGGTTCTCAAGCTGTTTGTAAATTGGTATGTGTTGTGTGGGAGTATGGTTTAGCTATTGAAGTTAATGCGAAACTGACTACGCCAGCCAGTTCATTAGGCTGTTGGCATAGGCCATGGGCTTGACGTCGGGATGTGGCTGAAAAGAATATTGATATTGAATTGAATATTAAGATATTGAATTGACTTGAGTAAAGTTATTTTTGAGTACTTACCACAGCCTCGAATGATTTGTAATTTGGTTTCAAATTGTTACCCGTAATGGTAATAAATGCGCCCATGTTGCCCATAGTATCACTGCAAAAGAAGTCATATGTTACCAAAAGTTTACAGGTAGAATGTGTAGGCTTACCAATAGTTCGGAGCAGAGAAGACTGTTATGCATTGACCGTTGTGAGCCACTTCATAGCCCATATCCTTGACCTCGTGGCTTCGAATGATGTAGTCCAGGTTGTTGTTTTTGCAGAACGCCTCGGTAACGTCCGGACCAAACTGGATGCCCACACCGCGCTTCGACTGTCCCACGCCCACCCAGTGCTGGGGATCGGACCACAGCAACTCGCACATTAGACCTTCCTCGGGCGGCTGGCAATTTCGTTCGATGCGTCTTATATGGTCCAAAGTCACATTTTCCGTGGAGAAGAGCCCGCCGTGCATGACCAGGATCTTTTGGTTGATGCAGTGGCACAACGGCAACCAGTTGAAAACTTGCGTGAATATGTCAGCCATGGCGCTAGTGTACTTTGCTGTAACCTCGCCAGTGAAACCATACATTTGGTTCATGTTGATGCTTTCGTGGTTGCCTGGAATAAGTTTGAGGTATGTTATATATAACATCTTAACATCTAAATGGAAATAAAAACTAACCGCGCGACAAGAAGAAGTGATTCGGATACAGCAGCTTGAAACCAAACAGCGTAAATATACACTCCACAGAGAAGGAACCCCTGTCAACGAAATCGCCGTTGAACAGATAGGGATTCTTTTCAGATGGCAGGCCATTGATCTCAAATATGTTCATCAAGTCGTAGAATTGACCGTGGATGTCGCCACAAATCGTGAACTTCTCCTCATCCGGCACAGTGATGTCCACCAGCGAGGGCTGAGCTCGCATGTACGTATCGATTTCGCAGAGTATCTGAAAGGAGTTATATGAGTATTCAAAGGATTGCTAGGCCTGGGGTTTAAACGCTTACTTTGTAGGCAAATTTACGGTGCAATCGCTTCTGTGCCTTGTAATGCTCCATCAGTTCCTTCATGAACTTCAGAGTCACCTTGCCGTCTTCCAGTTGGGGACCCTTGTAATCATCCTCAATAGCTGTAATACGTTGCCAAACGCAAGTAAATCACCACGTCAACAGGGAGAACGTATTAGCCACTTACTTATGTTCTCCATATCCCTATACATCTCAGCGAGCGTCTTCTCTGGTTTATCCACAGCAATGGCCCGTTCAAAGGCGCGCATTTTGACAATTTTGTTGCACTCGGAGAACTTGAGCTTTGCGTCTTTGTCGTTTGGGCGGCACTTTGCAACCTGAAAGGAAATTATCGTTCAGTGGTCGACCAAAGGTGCTGGTGGGGATTACTTACGAATTCAAAGTCACAAAGAGCTTGCTTGAACTTCCCCAGAGACATGTGAGCCGCTGCCCGGCGATAGTATCCTTTGAGGTAGGCGGGATCCGCCTTCACCGCTGAAACACCATCCTGTAGTGCGAAACCAAAGCTCTCCTGGCGCAAGTGCGCCAAGGATCTGTTGGCGTAATATATTGCGCTACTGGGGTGCAGTTCTATGGCTTTGGTGTACATGTCGATGGCTTTGGAGAACTCCTTGGCTATGGGAATAAAACAAAAGGTGAGTAATGGTACTAATTATACCCCCAAAGGTTTCGGCAGACTTGTAAATTATCACACACAGCCAAAGTTTGCCATTGTTTTAAGGTTATGTTGAAGGTGGCACTCGGAAAGTGCAGTCACAGAATGGGTTGCTTACAGGCAACTAACCGTGGTCATGCCACGGACCAGGTGATTGCCAGAGGTACTTACTTTTGAGCATTTCATTTCCCTGATTTTTGTACTGCTCCGCCGCGGCAAAATCGCGTTCTGCCTTCGTACGGGCATTTGTGTCCTCCTCCGGCTCCTTGGACCCCGTAATCTCCACGCCTGACGGCACCTGCTGCTCCTCCTGGCCATCGGCAGCCTTCTGTACTTCCAGTTCCGACGAAGACATCTTTTTTGTTGTAATAAATGATTTTCTTAAAGTTATTTACTGTCTGAAAATGTTCAAGGCAGTGTTACCAAATGGTGAAATTACTTTCCCACCAAATGCTCTAAATAATCCTGAGTGCCTGCGAAATTCAAACGATGGTTTTAACTAAAAACGTGTTTTAAAAGCTAATCCGCATAACGCTATTGTGGATATGTTAGCATTGTAAAAACAAGAGACAAGAATAAATAAGTAGGGAATGTTAATCTTATATGTTTTTAAATGTTCTTTCAATGAGTATGCTTACCGTATTCAATGAATTTTATTTGGCATTAACGAAACAGCAAGCTTGTGCATAAAGTCATTCCTGGTTATCGTAACAAAGTTTAGGAATGTCTCTAAACTAAGCTGGTTTATAATGTTTCATTAAATTTTTGAGTTCCCACGCAATCAATCGATAACGAGCTTTGGAGTGTTATCGTGAATCAGCTGTTTTGAGGCAGGTTTACTCAAGAGATGCATGCGTGACTTTAAAGTTCTCGTGTCACGGCATTGGCATATAAATGTTGAATTAAATATTTCCTAATAACACATAGCTCTATATATATATGTATTATATATACTCATAAGTTTACCTGATAACTAATTGATCTTATATAAGTGCAAGATGAATACATATATTTGTTTAGGCATATTAAGCATAAGCGTTGTATCAATAGTTCGTGCCCATCGTGAAGAACATTCTCTTGAGGTCGCATCTCTAGATTGCACAAAGCCGAGCCTGTTGGAAGAAAATTAGAAGCGGAAACAGGTTTTACTTTTACTAGCAACTTGAGCGCAGAACGCTTAGCAGCTTAGCCATCAGTCTGGAGTTGCAGCCGCAACGTAGCGAACCGTTTTTCGAGTATCCGAATTCGTGCCAGCGCATCGCTTAATCCACTGAAAAGCCAGTCAGAGGAACTGCGGGGGCGTTAGCATCGTGGGAAAGAGCAATATAAACAAACGGAGGCGGGATGTCGATGAGCAATTTATCAATAGACGGCGAGTTTCGCTACATAATTCAGTGGTTCAACGAGTGGAGCGAGCTGCAGCGGGATGATTTTGTCTATGTTTTCGTGGAGTACCTGTCCCGGGGATCCAGTTCTAGCTCCAGCGATGGCCAGGTGAATGGATTGGTCAACTCGCTGGCCAACGCAGCAGTGCAGGACAAGCCCATGAGCTTGTTCCAGTGTCGCGTAAGTAGTAGAAAGTTCCCTGCTCGATTTTCCCCCTCTCATGGTTCATTGTCCGCAGATTAAGCTGTTCCGTGAATGGAGCCCCAAGTGGCCGATCGAGTTCAAATGCAGGCTGCAGGAGAAGATCAGTGAGATCGACGCGAAGGTGGGGGAGAAAATCATCAATGAGCTTCGGGGTCCCCATTCCGTGCACAATGGCGACGTAGCCGTGCATTTAAATGCAAATGGAGCGAGCGAAGAGGGCGGAGACTCTGAACTGGAGCAGATGCCAGAGCCAGAAGTGACAGAGGTCGCCGCTTTGGCGACAGAGGAAGAAGCTGATCCAGCTGCCGAAGCAGATGACAATCGCTTGGCGGCGGTCTTAAGCCAAGAAACGCCCGTTGATGACGACGACGTGGAAGAGTCTGCCGGGACAGATTGCAATAGCAATGCCGATGTAAATGGCCATTATCAAGCGGCTGCAGTGACAACGATTACGGTGAATACATCACCATCGCCATCCCCGACTCCACAGCCGATTGTCGAACCTGTAGAACAGGTCGAGAATAGCGTTACAGTCACTGTGGCTTCTCCAGAAGTTCCCCCGGTGGCTTAGGCCATGCACGATCGTTACATACAAACCAGATCGACTATAAAAAGGCCTAATGAGTAGTTAAGTATTTTAGTTCTACATCATCGGCAACTCGACATTCCACGCGATGCATTTCTAGTTACGTAAGGCAATCTCTGGGCATAAGCCCACTTCTGGGCTAGGCCGACAAATAAGACTTTGTTCGCACACTGTAGCCCTTAACCCCGTTCATTTATCGCCTAACTTAAGAGCATACAATTTAAAGTAAGGGTAAATAATATACAAAAGAGAGTTCCGCATTCTAAACGGTGTCCTGTTACTTTTCCTGAACTACAAGTTCAGTTCAGCTAGCTGGCCAAACATGTTTTGTATTGATCTGTTCTGGAAGACAATCGGTTACGCTGCTTTCCGGCTATGTTGGTGCTCTTCGTCTGCTGCTGCTGCTCTTTGGCTTTGGCCCAAACCGAGTTTACGGCCTGATAATTGGTTTTTCGAGCTCTCTTTTTGTTTTGATTCGTCGTCGCTGAAATCGAAATCTGAATAGCGCTGGATGTGGAAGTAAATATGCATGCTGGCTCGGAGATTGAACCAATTTATTTCAATTTCGCACTTGGACGGGCGACGTTGTGTTACTGGTTTCCCAATTTCTTGACTTTTATCGTTCAATATGCGACGCCAGAACATCGTCACACTCTTATTCAGCATCCTGTGTTTGAGTGGTGAGTATCCCGGGGATCCCTAATAAGCCAATGACTTAAGACACACACTGTGCGACGGATGGGGTAATGAAAGACCAGCCCCTTAGTGGGTCAAGGTCTTCGTCTAGAAATTCCCAGCGAAGGGCAATAAACCGCGCGAACGACGGCGAATGCCGAACCAAAAAAAGTGAGTGAGTAATTGCCGTGGGCACTTCTGGTTTGCTGGTTTTCTGGCTCGCGATTGCTTTGCCGACATTGACCTTCGAGAAGTGATTTCATGCCTTGTCATCCATCCTGGTCGTCCGTTCTACTTTTAGGGGATCGCAGAGCCTACGCCTGCCACTGCATCCGCCTGGGGAAATGTGCCCACTTTGCCCGCCTTCTACTTCACCACGGTCCCGGAGAACAGTCCGCTGTGTTCGCCAAGGTGCACAGTGCCAGTTGTGGCTTCCAAGGCCTCGAGCCGCTCGTCTGCTGTCCGACATCTCGCAAGCAATACCACGATGAGTCATTCCTCGTCAAAGCTAGTCGCATGATGCGCTTTGCCCCGCCGGATGAACGTTGGATTTGGAATGATGGGGGAAATAATAAGGACAGCCGGCACTCCCACAAACACTCGGATAATCTGGAAGCGGAGACCAATCTGCACAACTACTGGAACTTCGAGCAACAACGCAACTGCCCCCAGCCCGTGGAACCAGAGTTCTTCGACCGACGCTTCGGATCGGGACACCACTTTCTGTATCATGTGGATCACGAAGAACGGGATACTTTACCGCGACCCACTCCAAAGGATAAGCCAATAGTATTTCCGGGAGATCTACGTTTCCTGCGGCAGGGAGAGGAGGAATTTGACTCCAATATAGATCAAGGTCCTCCTCTGGCACCGTTTACCACTACATTAGCTACACCAATTGAAACAATTCCTGCTTCGTCATCCACAACCACCACATCGATGCCTTCTTTCGCGAAGGAGAACTCCCAAGGATGCGGAATAAATGTGGAGAGCCGACTGCTGGGAGGAGAGCAGGCCAATGCCGGACAGTTTCCCTGGCTGACCAGGATCGCCTATCGCAACCGAAGTAAGTACGTCGTATGAAATGCTAAATACGCAATTTCGAATTTATTTTACCCAACGCAACGCCTTTTAAATGATCTTGAACCAACTACGCATTGGAGATCATAGCCGGGCCCAATGCCGTCCTGTGTGCGCTCATCCAATTTCACTGGCCACAAGACCCATTTTCAATGTAAGGAAGACGCCGACGGCAAAGAGCAGAGCAGCCAGTCCCAGAGCCTTGGGACCTCGATTGTTTGGTGGGGCCCTCAGACCCAGCGGTCCTCCGCCTCCACCCCCGCCGCCGCCACCGCCACCGCCTCCGGGACCACCTCTTCCACCAGGGCCACCTCTTCCTACAGGACCCCCTCTTCCTCCAGGGCCACCTTTACTGCACTTAGTGCACTTTGTTCCGCCGCAAGGCTTGGGACCACACGGTCCTCGCTTTTGGGTAGGACCAGCACCGGCACCACCTCCACGACCACCAGGTCCTCCTTGTGAACCAGGAGCTGGGCAAGATTCAGGGCCATTGGTCTGAGGTGGTGGACTCCTTCCTGAACAAGGGCAAGCGCACATCTTGCGCTGAAGAGGCTGCTGCAAATGAGAAAAAATTATATTCTTAACGGAATTTTACAATATTCTTTTCAGGCAGCAGCCGCATTAGCTTTCGCTGCTCCGGATCCCTGATCTCCAGCAGCCACATCGTCACTGCCGCACACTGTGTAGTCAATCTAGTCAGCGATTTGGAACTGTGAGTCTAAGGCTTGATTAAATCTTTGTAATCCTCGATCCTTCGTAGGTCTCATGTTCGATTAGGAGGTCAAGATGGGCCGAGTCCGTTCACCATCGAGCAGGTGATAGTTCATCCTAACTACGACCAGCCCAAGTATGCAAATGACATTGCCCTACTAAGAATCAACAGCACTAATGGTCAGAGATTATACTCCTTCCCTAAATCAAGGATCACGCTGAATATCCACTAACATTCCAGGCACCTTCACACCCATATGCTTACCCTTAAACGGGTCAACCACACTGGGAAACAGGCTGATTGGGCAAACGGGAGTGGCTGCCGGTTGGAGTATTGGAAATTCGGAAAGTGAGTTTCGAAACAACTTTATATCTGATCTGTTTAACCTTGCAACTTACTTACAATGCGATCGAAATATAATTCAGCGCTTATTAGGTTTTTATGTATATACATATCATTCTCTGCTACACAATTCAGATAATGGTTCGATGGACCCCTCGAACTCCACTGTTGGAGTGCGCTTTATCCGTTTGCCCATCGTGAACACCACCAGCTGCGCCATCGCCTATGCTAGCCTCAGTGAGAACTTCCAGCAGCCCATTGTCATTACACCCAATCACCTGTGCGCCCAGGGAACGCCTATGAATGACGTGTGCCGTGGAGATAGTGGCGGCCCCTTTATGGACGACGGATCCTCCGGCGTCTTTGGAACAAGTGGACGCTATACGATCATCGGCATCGTGGCCTTTGGACCCACGCTGTGCGGCGTGACCACCATTCCGGGGGTATACACCCTAGTGAGTAGCTTCTCCGATTGGATACTGCGGAGCATTAACGGAGGATCTGACTAGTGAGTGGTCGTGTGGGGTACACAGCCCAAGGAAAGCACATCCAAAGCTTCCAATGCCAAAGTCTTCAGAACACATCCAGGTAAAGAGCGATGATTTATACATTCTACGGATAAATACAAAAGTTCGGCTCCACTTCAAGTCACCTAAATGCCAATAAAATTTACATGTATAACATTTGTATTCATCATGTATTCATCATTCATATATGGCGTGGACTTTAATGTCCATTTTATTTTCTGAAAAAAAGTTTTTTTACGAATACACTATAAGAATCAGTGGTTAACATTTTCTTTATTCGTTAATTGCTTCTGACTACTGGTCTTAATTAAAAATGTTAATCAGCGGCTCAAAAGAAGGAGCAATAATTATCTTTCCAGAGTTCTTAACTTATCGCTTAAAGAATATTAATTGTTTTCAACGCCTCATTTTAAATTGATTACTTCCTCAAACAATTTGGAAGCGAGAATAAAATATTTGAATTATAAACGTGATTTAGCTGCTGGGTGATTATATCTATAAATACATAATTAGGTATTTAAAGTATCTATCTTACGATCCGATATCTTGTGTATAATTATTTTTCATTTTTTTTATTTACAATTTTACAAATTCGTTTGAAAGATACAAATCTAGCCTGGCTGCAGTAAACAATTTTGGTTCAGCGTTTTAGTTCTAGTACACAAATATAATGCCAACACTTTTTGTATTACTAAAAACTGGTTTTGCCCCGCAAACTGTTCTTGTTAAACACCCTTTCATTCGCTGAAGTAAAACAATTGTTTTGGCAAATAATTTATTAATTTGAATTAGTTGTAATCTGTAATTCCTAGAATAGCATCATTCACTTTCTCGAACTTTATTTAACGTATAATGAAGCTGCAATTGAAACAGGAAGTAGTACATTAAAACAATTGTATCTGAGCTGCTAAATACGATATAACTTTTAAATGTAATCACCGCATTGTAATTTATTTGCTTAAGATTTGGTTTTAGTATGATTAACCAAAAGTTTATAAGTTTTATAAAATGAAACCCAATTGTTCTACACAATATCCGAACGATCCTATTTCAGGCCTTATGGTAAACTGAAGTTTACTTACACTTATCCAACTGTTCTTCGTCGTCAGGCTCTTCATAGAAACTTTCGTCCATTACATTATCGTCATCCACCTTCCCAAAGTTCATGTTCTCCAAGTTTCTTAGCTCGACTTCCAATTCTTCGCGCCTAAATTCTATAAACACATCAGCTTCACTTTTGCTTTTGCTCAACAGTTTTTCTGTTCTAGGCGAATGCACTTTTGGCCTAAAGAACAGGTGTGGTTTCGTTTTTGTTCTGATGTTATTTTTCGCATTCAACATAGTTGCTTCCCAGGCCTTGAAGTCCTTCATTCTGGCCATTTTGTACTCTAATCTGCGGATCTCGAATTGCTTTTTTTTCCTGTCTAAGAATAGTGTTTCACGCTGTTTCCTCAGCATCGCTCTTTCCTGCAGTTCCTGTTTTTCCACCTTCCTATCGATCTCAGCTTTTTTATCCTCCTTGCTCTTTAGGCGCGATTCCTCCTGACAGAACTTTTGTAGGGTTCCCAGCAACGATCCGAACATCCGGCGATTTCTGGCCCTCGACTCGGAGTCTGTACCCTGTGCCTCGACGATCTCCTTTTTGGTTGGCATCTCCCGGATGACCCGGGAGTTAATCCTTGGCGGCCGACCCTCGTTCTCTTCGATGGGGAAACGGGGAATCGGGTTCTTACTCTCGTACATTCGCCGCTTGTCTTTAAAGAGACCACCGGGTGCATTTCGAGGAAACGGTCGGTCTCCATTGTGGTCGTTCTTCTTGCCATCTTGGGTGTATTTGAATTTTTCCGATCTGGAATTCAGTGAAATAGCCATTAATTAAATTTAGCACAGATTGTGTTGATTTGTACCTCTGCAGGGAATCCTTGGGGACGCGACCAGCAATGCGGCGAATGTTTTCATTAAGGATCACCAGCGACTGCTTGGCCGAGTTAAGTTTTTGCTCCAAGTCGTCCACTGTCGATAGACCAGAGTCATTCACCATTATTCCCACGTATCAGTTAGTTTTTGTTTAATTAATTATTTTATTTAAATCGGTACAATTAGATGCTCATAAAAGTAAAAAAACAAGACTTAGAGATGGAAGTTTACTAGAGCTGGCTGAACATCGATGGTACTGCTACTATCGATTCGGTGTGACAGGCCATCGATTGTTTTATACTTTTTACGGAAAAATACCGTTACATACATGTACTGATCTCATATTTTCCAAATACAAAATAATCTGAAATACTATTGATCGAATAAAATACCAAAAGCTTGTTGTGGGAATCCCCTATTTTTGAAAAAATTAAAACTGAATTTTTTATTACATCGTTCTAACTGTAAAATGTATTTGTATTTAAAAATAATTATATGTTTATAGCTTAAGTTTATACCAATGTATTTATGATTACCAAAAGAAACTGACTCAGAACATCTTTCAAGTCTCATGCACCTTGACGTAACCCCACTGAACCACTCGTCCGCCCGAAAGTATCTGTACTCGCAGATGAAATGAAACTAGATACCTTGGGCGGACTGCGTAGGTTTCAGTTTCTTTGTCCGGCAAAAAGGATAAGACGTTCATCGGAGCGAGAGGAGTCGAGAGAACCATTGCAGCTGTCCGTCCCGAGAGCTTTCACAGTATATGTACTTTCGCGTACATTAAAAGGTCGGACCTGCACGCATCCGTGACTTTTCAGCTTGTTTTTAAAATAGAATACAATGGTCAGGGGGCTTTAGTGGTGTTTATATGGATGGTCAAGCCCCACCAAGAACATCTAAAATAAGGGTTAATATCAAAATGAGTGCTGGATAAAGTTTTGACGCCGACCAATTACACATCATATTTAGAGAAAAGAAGGACGATTATATTGAGCGAGACAAGCGGATGCACGTACATTCACATGTACAAAGGTCATAGTTGCAATGTTTACATCAAAAGCTTCCTGCGGAGCGCATGCGCCCGCCGGAGGAGCTTTTTAGCCCAGGTTTGCAGGTGTAGTGCGATGGAATTTCGACGTGTTAGTTTCGCATCGCGGCTAGAAAAGTAATATAACTTTCTGCCAGTGCTCGTTATGTTCCACCTTGGTTTTTATTAACAAAATCCATTAGACCGAGTATGACCTACTACAATTATGTTGAGTAAAGCCCCACTCAATAATGTGCGCATATGAAAATAAGCAATAGTAAAGTGTATCCTGGAATTTTTGGCAAACATATACAAGTGCATACGAAAAGACATACACGCATACATACATACTTGTTCGTTAAATAAAATCAAATCGGTGACCATTTAAGTAATCTGCAATATATTATTAACCAGTTTTCAGTGCTAAACGGAATACTCTCTATCAAGTATCCCCGAAAATATCCTTCAACTTAGGTATACCGTGTTCGCAACTACTGCAAAATATATAAACCTATGTGTTATACATACAATGTTATATCCCGTGTAGATGTGTAATTGAGTGCTCGTGCACAAGTGTTGGTGTGCTCATCTTCCGTGAAAACTCAGATGATAAAATGTAACTTCTAACCAATTAGATATGAAAGCCATTAAGTCGATGTAATCAACAACTAACCAGTGCTATTCCAATAATTATACAACATGGAGTTACTGCTGCTGTTTATGCTAGCACTTCAACTTATAGAATCCAGCATCGGCAGTAAAGATGGTAAGTTAAACTTATATCTTGAATGTTCAGAAAGGTTAAGAAAACTATTTTCAAAAGAGTGCATATTATTTACCTATAAATAAAAGGGTTAATTATACGTAATAGTATCTATCTTTTTTAGCAGTGTAAACTGATAACCGGCTAAGGCCATGTGATATACATACATATTTTCGCGTTGGCTAATTTTTAGGTTCCAAATCTAAAATGCTTAGCTTAATTTAAATAGCTGAAAATAAAAACGAATTAAATCTTAATTTTTCCAGTACCAATTCACCAAATTGAATCCATAGTTGGTGAAAATATTTATCTTCCGTGTAATGTAACGACTTATGATGGCGATGAGCCTGTGTTGGTTCTATGGTACCGCGATGATAAGGGTACTCCCATTTACAGGTAAACTAATAAAACGAATTATTTTTTCATTAAGTTTACTATTTACTACGTGACGGGCTTGTTACGAAACACTTTATCATCTTTAGCATTGACATTCGAGCGGGAGTATCCAAAGCACCAAAAAGATGGTCGGACGATTCTGTATTCGGGGATAGAGCATATTTTATATTTGACAAGGAACCGGGAAAACTGTCAATTCAGAATACACAAGCATCCGACTCCGGAACTTATAGATGCCGAGTAGATTTCCTGAAAGCGCAGACCATAAACAGCCGCATTAGGCTCAATGTCATATGTGAGTAATTGACTTTGAAATCGCAACAGGAACCTATCATTATGGTTTTGCTCGTTATATGAGTTCCTTAAACAATCTGTGGCAGGATAATAATAGCATTGCATCCCTATAATTTTCCTAGCTCCACCCAAACAAGTTATTATTCGTGACAGCTCGAACGTGGAGCGTTCTACAGTTGTGGGACCATATAGCGAAGGCGACATCGTATCCCTGAAATGCCAAGTAATTGGAGGTATAAGTTCTGCACTTTCATTCAGAAATCAGAGCAAAAGTAACTCGATTCGTTTTCATATTGTTCAATCAGGCTATCCAACGCCCACCATCAGTTGGTATCGCGATGGCATAGAAATGCCATGCGAATTGTCTCATTTGGCAGGAGGGAAAATTATAGAGTGCGAAATTACGCTACCATCTCTGGGACGGGAGGATCTTAACTCCCGACTTACCTGCCGGGCGCTGAGTCACCCCAGGGCACCCATTGTCGAAGCGGTGGTTCAAATCGATATGAACTGTAAGTTTTAAACTACGAGTATATTATACTCGTATATCACCTTTTAAATGTGTACAGGATTTAGGCAGGGTTCGGCAAACATGTAAACACTTTCTTTACTTTCAGTTGCCCCTTTAAATATCCGACTGTTGGGGGCACATCAGCCACTGTCTGCTGGACGCAGATACGATCTATTGTGCCAAAGTGCTGGCTCCAGGCCGCCGGCCGTAATTACTTGGTGGCAAAATGGCATACGGTTGGAGAAGACAACCGAAACAGTAAGTATTCTGCCATAATATACTGGCTGGCATAGTTAAGGCGCTCATTTCAACTGTGTTTTGCAGACTTCGAGCGATGGAAACCAGACCACAAGCACTCTTTCAATCAGTCTAAGCAAATCTGATGCGGGAAAGTATTTATCATGCAAAGCCTACAACCATGCTGTTCCCTCCGAACCCTTGGAAGATGGCTGGAAATTAGATATACAATGTAGGTTTTATTAAATCGGAATGGGCTTCAGCTTAAGCTAACAAGCGTCTGCTTTCCAGATGTCCCGGAGGCATATGTTCGTTTGGGAACATCCCTGGATCCAGGCACCTTGCGAGAAGGAACAGACGTGTACTTCGATTGCCTGGTGATGGCCCACCCAAATGTCTTTCGCATCGAATGGCGTCACAACGTGAGTTTAATCGCGCTATTCAAATGGTTCATGTTGGCTTAAAATGGTTTCCCATTCCCACAGGAACAACCTTTATCACACAATATATCACAGGGCGTCATAATTAGTAACCACTCATTGGTTCTGCAAGGTGTAACTAGGGCCACTGCCGGAAACTATTCCTGTGTGGGATTCAATGCCGAAGGAGAAGGAATCAGTGCTCCCTTTGCACTAAACATACTCTGTAAGTTTGCTCTATAAAAGTTAAGTTTTCATAATCATGGAAAAACTCAAGCTGCTTTCTGGGATTTCATTTATTTAACTTTAAACTGAAAATATAATTTTTTGCTGACACACTCGTACCCTAAAATACCAATCACAGGAGCATTTCCCTGTTTGTTTACCCTATTTTGTTCCACTCTTCCTTTGGCTTTAAGAGGTAATTAATGTTTTTATGTCCTGTTTTTTATGCTCGTGTTTTATAGACGCTCCCACGTGTGCCCAGAATCAGAAGAAGGTGTACGGCATAGCCAAGCAGGAGGATGCAAAGGTCATGTGCACCGTGGATGCCAATCCCCGAGAGGTCGAATTCAGCTGGACATTCAATAATTCTGCGGAAAGTATTGATGTCGCCACAAATCATATTATTCGCTCGGGTAAGTGTTGCCATTCCTAGAACGATTACCTTTATCTAACTTGCTTTATAATTTTATTATTCAGGTACCACCTCCATTGTAACATACACACCCATTACTGAACTGGATTATGGAACCCTTTTGTGTCTGGCATCAAACAAAATTGGCAAACAGCGAGTACCATGTGTCTTCCATATAATCGCCGCAGGTGCGTACACAAACATTTAGAAAATATTTTATTATTATTAAGTATAATTATTTTAAGGTCGACCGGAAAAAGTACATAATTGTACGGTGAACAATATATCTATGACATCCTTGACGGTCACTTGTAGTGATGGTTTCAACGGCGGGTTGCCCCAAAATTTTAATTTAGAACTGCTGGACTCTTTTACACAAGTAAGACACTCATATTTTACTGTTAATAACATTGGATTTATTAAACAACATAATATTTTGTGTTCCAGGAAATTAAAGCAAACATAACATCCACGATTCCCAAGTTCACTGTGCCTGGCTTGAGTCCGGGAAGTATATATAGGCTAAATATTTACGCGTTCAACACGAAGGGTCGCTCCGATCCAGCTATAGTAAATGCGGCCATGCTGCGAATGCCCGAGAAGCAACTAACCTCGGAACAGAGTGAGTCCTTTTTATCATATCTTGATCCTTGAAGTTCTATAACCACATATGACTCTTTACCCATCAGCCCACAATCTTCGGGCAGAGCTGCTATTTTCGCCAGTGATGTCCTTAACAATTGGCCTAACCCTCGCCGTGCTGGTCGCAGTTTTGGCCATCATTCTGGCACTTCGAATACCCTGCACCGCTTCATCGAGACGGCGTCAAAAGGAGCTCTCAAACGAAAATATATCCAGAGATGAATCGCCAGGACCAAGCGACAAGAGTTCCGGCAGCAAGGAAGTGGACGATTGCGACGAAAAGAATCCGGATGTGGTACCTGAATCCATTGAACCTGATGAGCAGGTGGGCTTACCCTACTTCATATACTAGATA